TATAAAATTGTTTTAAAAGAAGTTATAGCTAAATCCCGCTCATCCCGCAAATCCCGCGAATCCCGCAAATCCCGTGAAGTCGCGAATCCCGCGAATCCCGACAATCCCGCAGTTTTGGACAAATTCTACCGCTGCAACCGTATTTAGATATTTGAAGTTTTTTCAAAAAGCAGTAGGATGATGTTGTTCGCTTGAGAGGTTAAAGGTGGGTCCGGAACTGGAAGTGTATGTCGTCAGCCGCGGCCGATAGTATTGTCAAAATGATAGAGGTATGAGATGATTTCACAATGTGTTTCTCATCACACACGTTTGTCACATTTTACATATGTAGTATTCGAGAGCTTTCAGCTGAATTTTGATAATCAAATTCATGTGTTGTCAAAATGCAGTCACCTTTGCTAGTTATCCTATTTAGGAATGCAGCTGGGGGTAATCAATTTTTTTAGGCAGGTTCTACATAAAGATGATATCGCAAGTGCGGGTAGAGAATGGGTGGGGGGGGGGAGCGTATATAGGTATTGCAATGCAATTACTCCGCGAAGAGGCACCATGCCTGTTGACGTGCCTGAACACGTAGGATGCAAGCAACGAGTACTGATGGTGGCAGTATCATAAACCGGCAAAAGCAACATGGTTTCATGGTTTGGTCTCGTTAAAAAATCTCTCGCGAAAATCTGCTACGTTTATTACATTTACAATTTTGGAGAAAAGATGGTTGGGACTATCTATTAGTGTCTCAATGCTGGTAGCCATATGGTTGGAAAGGTCATGTGGAAATTAGAATTTAAGTAGAGAAACCCCTTTATGGCATCAATGGTCGTTCTATAAGACAACTCAGAGAGCATGTGCTCTTGTGGAAAATATGGATGCGATTTGAATTCAGGGCTTTGATTTTACAGCGCACGCAGCTGCTGAGAGGTTCAAGATGGAATACGGCGCTGATGGCTGGCTACTGAAAACCACTGCATTTCCATGCGAAATTAGCATGTTCATAATTAGCGTGGCGAATAACGCCACCACACCAAGTTTCAGTCAATTCCGCTTACAGTAAACCTACCGTAATGCCGATTTGTGGCCCCGTAGCGAAAAGTTGATATCTATTCGTAGCTCGTTGTAACATTGTGTACTTATCAAAACAACTCGCATAATGAGTCCTCCTAGTTCAAAACAACTCGCATGATGAGTCCTCCTAGTTCTACGCTAACGTTTATGATATATGATACATGCTAGGGATAGTAGGCAACTTGGCATTACAGCAATAGGAACAAATCAAAAGTGGTAGTAATTTGGTCGAACCATCATGTTAACTGCGTTTTCATGACATCAGCTAACCAGCACTTCGCATCATCTTCCCAAAGAAACCGCGAGTTAACCGATGGGAAACCTCGAAATAGGCTATCTTGCAAAGAGAGTCACTGAAGGAGACTGAAACTCCAATCATTCTCATGCTTGTCTGCAGTCATTGCACTTCACCAAACTTGTTACTCAGTGTGAAGCTTTCCATTCTTTCATGATGATTATTCCATCGAGCAGCTACACACTAAACTTTCGAAGTAGATTATCGAAAGAACTTCTTGCCGGTAGCCAAGAGCTTCTTATTCGAAAGCTTACATTAGCAATATGTCGTCAGGAAATAATGGTGCGTTATCCAATTTAGCATGCATTATCAGGAATATTGCTGAAGACATATTGCAGATGTGAACGCGATTGCTGTGCCTCGTAGGCGCCACAGGAAAGATCTCCAAATCCACAGAAAAATCTCCAAAATCAAATGCTTCCTATTGCTGTAATGCCAAGTTGCCTACTATGCCTAGCATGTATCATATATCATAAACGTTACCACAAGCGTAGAAGGAGGACTCATCATGCGAGTTGTTTTGAATTAGGAGGACTCATTATGCGAGTTGTTTTAATAAGTACACAATGTTACAACAATCTCACTTCAGTCGACGGATACAAGTTGCGTCGACTTGCACGCCGTTTCAAAAAATTGGATGTTGACTGCTCAGGATCACTCTGTCGGAGTGATTATTATCCATCCCTTTTTGTTGCTGCCTTTAACAATCATTCATTGCAGAAATTCACGTTATTGCAGGTTACAACAAAATCCATTAGTTCAAAGAGTGATTGATATGTTTCATGAAAATGGAATCGGAGAAGTGGATTTCCGAGGTTAGCATTTGCCTCTATGCCTTCGCGAAGTCAACCAAAAATGTTTCAGACTTTATCCAAAGTATCTCACAATTCAGCGTCAGAGGTGAAAAAATGTTGAACTGTGTAAGTTTCTTATGGATTTCTTATTTTCCCCTTGTGTTTTCTTTCTGACACTGATCATCCATGAATATATTAGGCTGGAAACTAAGTTTTGCAACTGGTTTCATAACTTCACTCTCTCTGGATATGGCGCACTCAAACTTTGGCATTATGTAGAAGGCAATGTGAGCTACAAGTGAGCACAAATTGTTTAAATTTTGAACACGAAATAGAAAAGTTTCAGGCGTTCTTCGAAAACTAGTGAAATTTGAGAATTTTTGGGGTTTCAAGCTAAAATGAGGCCTTTGGCAGCCTAGACCATGCGCAGTAATCCGGATTCGTCTACAAATTATTGCTAAAGGTTACTCTTTTGGCCTATTAAGAAAGAAACAAAATTTAGGGGCATGTTGAGATTTGGCGTCCTCATAAAGTCGAACGAGTCGATGTACGCAAGAGCTGCTGGGGACGACCGTCAATGACTAAAGAGTCCGAAGCTCAAATTCCGCCGAGATTTTACATAGTAAGGTTATTTGACCTGCCAAACACGGATACACATTCATTTGTTCAATCAACGCCTTTTTCCTTTTTAGGGTGAGACCCCATATCGTACACCTACAGTAATCCTACAAAAGAGCCGCTATCACGCAATTTCACTATAGTTTTTCGTGATCAGCATGTCGGATAACACCCCTATGCCAAGTTTCAGCCAAATCCGGCAAACTTTGAATTTTTCCCCTTCATACCATACACCTACCGTAACCCTCACTGCGACGTCAGAATTTGGTAGGACAGCAGCTGCGCTTGTACCTTACGTAATAACCAACGCAGTGGCAAAATTTGAGTGCGCCATGTTGAGTGAGAGGAAAGTTATGAGATAAGTTGCAAAACTTAGTTTCCAACCTAATATTTAGTTGCATTCTGTGTCTACGACATAGATGGGGATGGCTACATATCGAACAGGGAATTATTCCAGGTATTTGAGCTTTTTGCAGGGGTTTAGGAAAGAGAAGGGCTTGGTGGTCTTATTTCAGGTGTTGAAAATGATGGTCGGTGATAATGTGAAAGACTCACAACTACAGCCGATTGTATAAGACGATACTCCTTCATGACAAAGATAGTGAGGGAAGAATGTTATTCCAGGGATTTTGTGACGTGAGTTTATTACTTACCATCTAAAAGTTAGAACCAATTCACAAAATGTTCATCTATGCTATCCACATACAAAGGGAAACAAACCACTTGAAGTTTGCTCCAGTTTCTTTTGACGCTGTGTACGCTACCTCCGCTTATTCGCGAATAATACCGTAATTCCTGCTTTGCCTACAGCGTTAACAATATTTGCTCGTGTTATCTGATCAAACTAATTACCAATCTTCATTTGCTAAGGGGATGACGATGTGAAATACTTCCTTTTTAGTCTGAGTGTTACTGCTAAATGAAAGTGACCAGTGTATATTTCAGATTTCACTGTTCACCCTTTTGAATGCTTTCATCGACGATCACAGCATCAAAGTGATGAAACTCCGCTGATGAACGAGATGTCGAAATAAAGGAGAGACATGGTGACGCCCAGAAACAAGCCAGAGTCACAGTTTGCTTCTTTACTTTCTGTTTTTGATCTTCTGTTTTTTTCACTATACATTCTGTGTTGTTTTGGAATTTGTTTTGCACAGAAAGTTTGTTTTGCATAAAACTGATTCAAAATAAAGCACATAGAAAGATTTTGTTTGCATTGTAAACATTTTGAAAATGTAGTTGACAGAGCACAATTGGAAAACGCAAAAATATGGAACATCATCATCAGCAACATTTAATTCGCACTCTTTTCGCATGGTGGTATTTTTCGCAGAATCACGATAGGAACAAAGTGCAAATCCAAAATTTTTGATTTGGGTTGCATCTGATCTAGTAAGTCATTTAGCATGCTGACTGTAAATACTTTTCTCTTGAAAACGTTACCCTGTGGGTTGCGACAGATGTATTGCGGATAGTCAAAAATTGAAGTTTTGGCCAGAGCTACGTTCAAAGAGTTCACTCCGTATGTTCATTACAATTAAGCCACTCGAGCTGCACAGCAAAGTGTTCTCAAGTTTGTCTTGGCAGAATTTTGTCAAAGATGATAGCATGTTCGAGTTCAGTATAAGAAAGTTTTTATTGCTTTCACAATAACTCAAAATATTCTTTTTACTCTTGAAAGCTATTTCCAAAGATCTTGAAAGTGATAACATGCGTGACAACTCCTTGATACAGACCGCCTCCTTGATAGAGACAGATCCCTTCTCATTTTTGCTGCCTAAAAATGCTTGTTAGATTTTCACATAATTGAATTTGAATTTATTGTAAAAGTTCTGACAATTGTGCTCTGAGTTCGCGTAGTAACAAGACAACGACTCTCCAATGTCACTACACTCTTCAACTGTTCATCTCGTGAATTCACACGTGAGTAGAAAGTAATTTAGGCAATTGCAAACATGCACAGAAGGTCATGTATGATATGCGGGAATATGGTTTGCGAAAAACTGGCATCACGCTCATCTCGGAGTAACATCCACAACGCAGTTTTGTTCTCGACTTTGCAAATCTACACATCTATCGAACACGAACTTGTGGAACACTGCTTTGTGACGTTTCAACAGACACAAAAATTTATCTGTACCACCCACTCTATAAATGCTGTGAGTCACTTATCCCATATGCGAAAAAAAATTTTTTTGCGTACAGGCTCAGTACCTTCTAGCAGAAATAATGGCGAGAGGTGTAAGTCTGTCGAAAACAACAGAAGGCACATCATATCTTTTGGAAACAGACATCCCGTCAGACATTCCAGACTTCTTGAATGCAACGATAAGGACATTTTTGGTTAGTCTACAATGAGTGATGGGAAAGTACCATGGTTAGCACCAAAGATGTGTACACTTACGTAAGCACATATCTCAAAAAGTATTTCGGTCCTGATGGCTGGAATTTTGGAGTTGCAACTGATGGATGTAGCACCCGCTGCGCCAGCGGGACAAGAAGATCCTAGATCTGAGAAAACGTCGGTCAGAATTCAGTAGAGGGGAATCATTTTCTATCACTGCAGTGATAGCAATCGCATTTGATCCTGATAAATTTGCAATTTAAAGCAGCCTTTTCGTCTCCCCGGAGAAACAACTATCAAAAGAATCAGATTTTCCTGCAAAAACTTCGGTCAGTACTTTCTCAGCACATTATCAATACTCATTTTGATTGTTCAGAGCAGTTCCTATCAGATTTCGCTTAAAAAACAACCATCGCATCTGGCAGCGAAGACACGAGGCCGCGAAAAGAACTGAGGAAAAAGATTTCAACAAATATTTTCTTGTCCCAGGACAAAAGCTTCTTGAGCTTTTCCACCTAAGTCGCTGTGAATGTAGCGAGAACGCTTGCACAGAAGATGTTGGGCTCAAAGGATTCGCGTCTGCTCCTGTTATTTACTATACAACCGCTGGTTCAACAACGGAGGCAAGAAGATGGGAAGGACAGGACAGACTCGGTCCAACCCTGCATGAAAAAGTGTTCATTGGGAATGTGATAAGTTGCGTAGCAAACGTCACGACGGAAACACGCATAAGTGTATGGTTTCTCTTTGGAAAAAACTGCGAAAACAAGAAAAAAATGTTATTCACAGAAGCAACTCCAGCGGGCAAAGGAAGTCAACGTGGCCTTGCTTGGAAAATCATTTTTTTATGAAATGTTTGAAGAAATGCGACCATTGATCAAGTATGTATACGACAAACGTAAAGGCTGTCATCCAGGAAATCGAGTCCACCTACGAGGTAAGAGAAGTGTGGAATTATATACCATTAATCATGTCGCTAATCATTCAGGCTGAAGGTCAACCGACAGCTTGAGACATAGCAGTGGATGGAGCTTGCGACTCGCGTGGATATACTGCCGCATTCTGCAAGGTATTGGCAGTGGACCTGAAGACAAATCTGTGCGTGCACACCGAAGTCCTGCACAGATCCGAAACTGGTAACTTAGTCAATTCCCCCCCCCCCCCCCTATATCTACTTCAAAGTTATTTTATAGGAGGTATCAGCGGGAGAATGGAGAAAGAAGGATTTCGTCGATACTGCGTTAGTTCCATTCAAGGAATATCACACTCCGTTCCGTCTCTATCCACCGTAGCGCCATGTACGGAAACGAAATACGCCAGTTTAACTCGGATTTTAACACTGATATCCAGTGTTATTTGGATCCCTGGCATATAAACAAACGAATCCACAACCATCTTCGACCGGAAACATTTAGTTTTATTCAGAAAATGCCTTTACAAAATAGATATTTTCAGGTTATCAGGCTGAGGGACTGCAGAAACCTAAAGGATTGAATAACCCCCCTTAAGGCACACTTATATTATGCTGTCAGAGAAGGGGCACGAGCACAAAATGCTCAGCTCACAAGACACATCAACACATTCCTTTATCACCTGGCGGGCATCCACGAATGAAACCAGGTAAAGCCACTAAACTTTGAGAAATCAACAAGATAGGAGCTTTAGGACGCCAACACTGGCCCAATAACAAGATGTGACCACCGAGAATGGCCACAAATGCAAAAGCCGATCATCGCGCTTGGCAGTCAAGTTCATGAGAAGCAGAAAGAACGAATATTGCAGAAAGAGCTTCAAGAAGAACCTCACTAGGATGAGCCCTTTTGGGGGGACTAGTCAATGTGAGAGCAAAAACGCATTATAGGCCGTCCGCGCAGGGCGCGGAGAGTGCGCAAGGTGTGTATTGCGCGTCACTCCTCTTTCCTCGCGCACTCTCGCCGTCTGTTTTTCTCTGCGCTTCTTCCAGTCGCGAACTGCCTTCAGTGTACGCAACAGCGTTGCTCTCCGTGCGCAGCGCGGACGCCCTATAGACAGGGTTTATTGCCCTAAGGAAATTTACCTGTGAGTAAAAAGTCCCGCTCTATACTACGACAACAGAAATAAATTAGCTTTCAGGCCGATAAGTATTTACCCGACCTATGTAATGCTTTCGACTCTCCACAAGAATGAATTACGTCTACCAGAGATGCGTGGAGAACGAATAATGGAGCCTTCACCACCACGACTATCCGAAAATTCAGCAACATTCCGAAAGAGATTCCCTACAAGACTCCCGTGGAGCACATCTGGAGAAAGGAGAGGTCAGGGCCCGGCGGGGGTGGCGCTTTCACAAGCTAGATATCGTTTTTGGCCCGAAAAAGCAAAGGGGAAGTCGTATTTTGGGGTCCGGGGCTCCGCCTCGGACCCCAAAATACGACTTCCCCTTTGTTTACCGATAAACGATGCACATATCATTCTTTATTCATCATTCCTTGTTGATGCTACTGTCCTATGAACTTAGATTCCAGCAATGTGAAGATTTTTGCTCCGATCGCTAGCCTGCCCCCAGGCGGGAATTCAAATCGCAATTCTTGTAAGAGGGAAATAACAAAATAGGCTCGTTTTCAATGCACAAGTAACGATATGGCACCAAATTTGCAGTATAGTTGGAGAATCGTGAGCACAAAAAAAGTATGAAGAATTATGGGAAACTTATGTGAATTTAAAAAATGGTAAGTGTTTTTCGAAATTAGGTGGCTCCCCGCGCCACCTGGGAGCCACCTAATTTGGCACCCTGCTTTGGGTTGTTTCATACTGCCGCACTGACTGCAGCAGTCTGCTGCAGTCAGTGCAGTCAGCTGCAGTCTGCTGCAGTCAGTGCAGTCAGCTGCAGTCTGCTGCAGTCTGCTGCAGTCAGTGCGGCAGTCTGAAACAACCCTCTCCTTCACATAATTTCCCGGATTTCTTTACATAAATGTGGACTACTTCGAGAGTATTACTATATATTCAAATCCGCTTCCAAAACCACCAAGGCACCGCTTCGATACAGGCCCAAATAGGGTTCACAGCGTTATGATCGGCCTCGGAAAGCGCGCTCCAATCGCAATCGGTCATTGTAAATTGTAAAGTTTCGCAGCTGACTAATAAATGACTAGTATCTTAGATATCTAAACGTCGAAGTTTATGCAAATCTTGACCCTATGTTTTTTTATAGATTCCTTTGCGAATGAACCCATTAAGCTGAAACCTTAAAACATGTTTTCGGCCTCGGTAGATGGTTTTAAGCTACCCTTCGAAGCAATTCTTCTATTGGAATTCTTCTATCGATTTAATGATTTTTGGCACCTTGCAAGGAAAGTGAACACTTACCAGCCGCTAACAAACTGCTTGCACATTTTGGTGTGAACATTGCAGTGAAGTTCATTTCCACTTTAAAATTAGAAGGTGCAGTCACTCCAATAAGCCCTTCTGAGGTAAGCTCGTGCAGGAGGGTAAGGGGGAGGGCTGCAGTGCAGTATTGATACTGCAGAAAAGGGGTGGAGAATATGGCCCAAAAGGACGGGAAGGTAGAAGGACAAAGTGTGGCTTTTGGCCATCCCCTCAAACGATGACCCGGGCTGGACCAGGAAAGCCAGGTAGTACTACTATAATAAGCGCTGAGGCCGTCCATCTTATTATTTAGTATATTTGTTTGTCAGGGACTTACGGGGGTCAAAAATAGGGTCAAAGGGGAAGTCGTAAGAAATTTTGGCTTCAAAGGGGATATCGTTTTCAAAATTCTGAAATGCCACCTCCTGCCGGGCCCTGATCTTGGTCGAGTACATGTCCCTAAAATCTGCTAGATCTGATCCGTCCACGTCTGATCAACCGTCCTCATCTGGTCAGCCGTCTACGTCTGCTCCACCGTCACCACCAGGCCAAATGTGCTTTCACCTGCTCGAGAAGCATCAGACGAGGATTGAATACCCACCAAAACTGTTGTACCGCATTTACAGTTGCCTGTTCCCATGTACCTAACAATCATTACGCCATGTGCGAAAGATGCGCGGCTCATTCCAAGATTATGACTGATTCTATCCATCCTACTCTCACCATTCCCCCCCCCCTAGGAGAATCACACGGAAATGTCTTTTTAGCAATGACCATCTCAATACCAGCTATGTAAACTTGTAAAAGTTTCATTTTATCGCGCACGAATTGTTGCCTTGATATATTACACTACAGCGATGTTCTTATACATGGAAATAGAAAACTGGGCATAATTACCAGCTGTCTGTTCAAAGCAAGCTAAACAGCTGCCAGGTAGAGACAGTGAAACACACGTAAAAGAAATGAAAGAACAATAAACGAAAAAGAATAAAAAGAGTCACATGTTTTCTTACTTTTGTTCAAGACTGCTCCTTGGGTGCTCGAGAGGATCGATCATTTGCATTAGAGAACTAAAGCACACAGCATTACCATACTCTAAAAATAGACGAAAACAACCACTTACCTTTTCAAATTGCTGTTTTGTGTAACTGCTCCAGGGCAAGTGCTCGAGGTTATCGATCACTTCTCAATAAAGAGCTAAAATACACAGCAAATACTAAAATACTCTAGGTAAATGAAAAAAATTACCTAACCCACCTTTTCACCATTGCTTTTTTTGAAGTTGATCCAGCAAGTGCAGTGACGGCTGGTTTCTTCGCATCGAAAGGCTAAAAACATAGCACTTACTGGTATACTCTACACGTAAGATGAAAGAGTGAAGTGATAGCACAGTAATCGCATGAAAAACAGAAGTGATTTACTAGAACTACTAATCACAGAGAGCAAACACATCTAAGATCGCGAAAAACTCACTTTCCTTGTTGTTTCCTCTGTTTTTCGTTAGCAGCGTCCAGCTTGAAAAAGTTATAATTTGAAACAAGCACAATGCATGTGGAGGAGTAGAACCAAACGGCTACAAAGTCAAATGGGCACGAGAAGGAGCAGGAAAGACAAAAAAACGAAAAGAAGAAAGAAGCGAGAGGAATTAGCGCCCAACGGCGCTCCAGTGCACGAACGCTGACTCTGCTTCTCTGACTCTGCCAATGCTCGTCCGCGTTCAACTTGGAGGGTTTCCGGAAAAGCGCTTTTTCGCCGTTTTCGCGTTCTCTCATGTGATTTTCGGATTCAGGATAGCGGATAGGCCCAGGTAAGCAAAAAATCTCAAATTCGAGTTTTTGCCCGGACACTTTCCTACAGGTCATGGCATCACTTTACTTCTCCTGTATTATTCCTGAGCGTACATCGTAAGAGTTAGATTCTTTGTTAGTGCTTTGCATTCAACATTAACGATTATCTTTTAGGTGAACTTCGCTATGAAATGTCTTTTACAGTTTGCTGAAATTCGGGCTTCAGCTTATGGATCCTGTACTAACTGAAGCATTGCAGATGTTGCCTCACTAGCGAAAGTAGCAGGTTCGTGCATTTACTGTAATATTTGACGGCGGTTAGTGTTCCACCATGGCCTGCCTTTAGACCGTTAGGCGTTTAGGTGGTTGTTACTACGGCTTCTAGTGCGTTTCATTCGCATCAATCTGCACGTACGGCTTATGTGGCGTATACCGGACGAGGCGCTGAAACTGTGCAAGTTTGTCCTAGTTCTGCTTTCTCATTATTCCTTCTCTTCGATCTGCAATTTTTCCGCCGGGATTTCGCACCGGGCGACATCTCGGCAAAGAATCTCATCGGAATCATAACATTATGCAAAACTGAGCAAGCCATTATGATTTGCACCGCTTTTTCTGGACGCACTCGCATTTTCGTTTGCAGTATTTTGAAGCAGCCCTTCCACTTACCGAACAAACATTCAATAACTACCCGCATTTTACTGTGGGTAGTGTCGAACCTGCGCTGCGCCCGGTCTTGGGTGCTTCTGTAAGAGGTCAGAATTTCGTTGATATTTATGAATCCTAAGTCCCCGATCAAGCAGAATCCCTACGGAACAGCTCCTCCACCGAATGCGTCATGCAAGCGGCTATTATTCTACACATTCGCTTCTACACGGTAGAATCGTGAACAGAACCGGGATAGTTGCTGTTGATGTACATAAATACCTACCGTGAGTGTCAACAACAGCCAGAACGTTGATGGCGCAAAATCCTTTGCGACAGTGGTATTCCTAGCCTGGGTAAGCAGGTCTCAGTATGGGGATCAGTGTGCCGTCAATGGTTCCGACAACATTTGTGAGTGCTCCCAGTCGTGCAAAGCCATCAGCCTTCCTTCGGCAGTAGTGCACTCGTCCAGGTGGCACAGTAAAAATTTCTTCGCTACTGCCGGATGATTGAGCGCCCTGACCACCTCCTCCTCGGCTTTAGAGACTGTCTTCTGGCAGACACCGAGGGTATCTGCTAAGACGGCCTGATAAGCGTTGGTGGCGAGATAACACAACGCGATGATAATCTGAAATATGCTGCGATATGAAATATTTTGACACTCTCATTAGAACTCAACAACCATATGGGATACTTGATCTTCAAAAAGTTGAAGTGAGGAGATGGGAGAGATTACCAGTTGCTATTCAGGACTGACCTTTTTCTCGACGTCAACGCTCCAATTCTCAATCTATTTGTGGGTCATGAGAGGAGCCAGAAAACTGCACAGGCGACGCAGATGTACTTCACCCATGCGATATTTCCTCATAATAAATCGCTGATTAGTGTGAAACGTCCTCATGGGGTGCACTCGTCAATACTTAATATTCCTCTGTCTCGCCACAGACAAGATGGCTGGAAGTATGAGAACAGGAAGCATTTCTGAAGAAACGTTTTTAGACGAAAAAATTTTCAAAGACTTCAAGAAAACGCTAATTACTAACACATTTTTAGTTTGTCGATTTTAACGATTTTTTTGGAAAGTTTGAGCTATGGGGCTGGGAGTTGGCACAAGCGGTAAGTGAACATGCTGATTACGAACACTTTATTTCAGTTTATCGATTTTTTGTGATTTTCGGCTCTTAGGTGGACCTACCGTTACCGTACAGAAAGGCGTTTTCGTGCAGAATCAATGTGATATTCGTGTTTAGCGTGGCGGACAACCCCTCTGGACCAACTTTCAGACGAATCTGTGATCTTCGCCTCCTACCGTAAACCTACCGTAACCGCACAGAAAGGCACTTTTGCAGGTATTCATTAAAATATTCGTGTTCAGCTGCCGAATAATCCCTATGCGCCAAAAGATCAGAAGAAATTTGTGACAAAGCATTTTGGGCCTCAGATAGCCGATGTATTACATAGTGTCAAACTATCAGTATCAATGCTTTTTGTTCATAGAAACTTACATTATTGAGGAGAACCGTTGCAAAAACTAGAACCAAATGAAGAAGGCTCATCAAAAAACTCCATCCTAAGAGAGAACAATCTGAGAAAATTAGAGCGTTAGAAACAAGAAAAAACAAAGTAATCAAAATCATTACCAACACAACAGCAAAAGACCAAAAACAAGGCGAATAAGACGTCAAGCTCAAGAAGCACAAAAAAAGAGAAAATCTGATTGAGAAACGAGAATTCAAGGCAAGATTTAGCTTGCGCCCGAAACAAGAGCATGCGGCAAGGTTCGGGAATTGCCCTCATGTTTGATGTTAACATGCAAGGGGGATTCTACGGGCTCACAAATCCTATGACGATCATGATGTAGTACATTTGCGGCGGCAGATTCCAACCGTTACTCTGCAATTTTCAATTTGTTGGAGCCGATCACGGCATTGAAACCCACCTTTTTTCATTTTCCTTGTACATATGCTGTGCATTTGCACATGTCGAAACCGCCAACAGTGTTAGTATAATGGTCCATTTTGGAAATTGCATCTGCAAGGAATGTAAGACTGTTGTGTCAATTCTGTCACAATAAAACGATTTGCATATGTCACTGTAGATTGTATAACAGCAGAACATGCATAAGAAGAAACATTTGGAGCAGGTCCGACATCTGAGCGAAAAGCACTGGTCATGTCTTGACCATGGAATATCTTGTTATTCTCGTACAAGCTTCGATTTTTTTGAGTTCCAGGTATTCACTGAATTGCAAGTAACAATTGTGAAATGCAAAAAAGTACCATAAGCAAGCAATGAAGGAAAATTGAAACTCACGGCGTCAGCAGCAACTGATTTGCCTCGGCCTCCCTTTGTGCGCGGTAAAATTCTGTGTCAGCCTTTGCTTTCTCCGAGGCTAAAAGAACTCAACTTTCATAGCAAAAATTCGCAAAATCACACTGTGAAATTACTTTGCAAAAATTGAATGTAATGTGAATTGGCTGCAATTGAAAGTCGGTTTCCTCAGCAGAATAACTTGTCTAAATGATGACTATCGTCTTCAAGTTCAGTGATTTTTTTCTGTGCCTCCCCTTCCCCTACCACTTGCTTGTGCATGGTAGCTGCAACCTGTGCCTTCAGCTCATCTTCTGAAAAAACAGAAATCTTCCAATAAACTGGCAAAAACAAATGGAGTTTACCGCTTACCTATGATAGCCTTCTTTCGCTCTGTTTCCGCCCCCTTTTCAGCAACTTTATAATATTAAGTGGCAAACAGTAGTTCCGTCTGTAAAAGCGGAAATCATTGCGAAATAAAAAATGTCGCCTGGAGGTGACCTTCTCGGCTTCCATTTGTTCGTAGTTATGTCCTATCGCTTCTGCTAATCTGTTCGTTACCCGAACAGCTTGAACAAACAATCCTGGTGCCATTACCATCAATCTTCTTGCAGCGTAGTCTTTGAGTTCCCTCATCAACTTGATCTAAACAAAAGAATCTATTTCACATCTTGATGACAATACTCAATTCTCACCAAATAAGTCGATGTAGGCTTCCCATAATAAATGACTCAAATAAAACGATTCACTTTATGATGGACCTTACTGCAAATGAGAGGTTTGTCAAAGTCAGCTGCGTAATTCTTGACAACGTTGTATACTAAAAGGATGCATCACAAGTGAACAATAACAGAAAATCACTAAAAGCAACACAATCATGCTAGTCCGAAGTCGAATTTGATGAAGGTGGATATGACAGGAGAGTTATAGCCTGTTTCAACGTAGGTGCGCATTATACCAGGGCTGTGCTAGCACCGCTCCAGCTGACACGTGCGCCGTCACGTGCTGATCGCTCTGCGCCGGCACGGCGCTAACACTTTATGGCATAGACAACTCTGATTGCAGTCAAATGGCACTTCTGAATGCGCTGGTGTGAAAAAGGGAGTAAATTTGGCTCAAAATGCATATTGACTGTCTTGCCGTACTGATAACCGCGTCCAAGAACAATAAGAAGCACTAGTATATAAAAGAACAAGAAGGCAAGGACTAGACTCACATTTAGCGAGAAAAGAACTGAGAGCTGACATAGCTCCAGATATGTGGCTAAAGCCTAGCTGCGACGCCATCATGCATCAAATGTTGATAGAGGAATTCACAAGAAGTCCAAAAAGAAAGCCAACTAGGCCCACGAACTCCTGCAAGAACAAAGTTAGTTCATGAGGCGTAGGAGTGGGGTAGGGGAGTATATGTCGCCGAAAGTAGGAGATCCCGCCGGACATCTGCGACAAATGCACATTCCAATACATGCAGAGGCTGAGTACTTGCTGCATTGTCCGCGCTGAACCCTCCCACTTTCGTCGACATGCAGTCCTCTACACGTAGGAACGACAAGCCGCACAGGGAATGACTCATAGATCCACATGAGTGTAGAGTCGCGATAGTGCTTAGCGCCATTAATCGAAAACGCAGGTCATAATGTGCACTGATCATTTACAAAAAAATAAAACTAGAATTCATGACCATCTGTCATATTACGCACTGAATAGATCCATATATAATAGTAAAACGAGTACAAACTTTGAAAAGATCTACGATATTGCTCAGAAACAGGAAACTGTAAAGTAAATCGATGCGAGACAAATGATTCGGGAACCATAAGAATCACAATGAAAGATTAGTGGAATCGTAGCAGAGCAAGATGCAGCATTTCGATTATTGTTCGATTTTTTATTGAACTGTAAGGAATGAAAACAAAGACATGCGGTATAGCGAAAGCCGATACGTCCGCAAAGACTGCGGGCGTACCGGCGACTCTCTGCGCTTTTTCGTTTCTCTTGCCGCCTACTGTCTCTCCCAAGTACGAACTATCTTGGCCGGACGCAAGACTCCCAGTCTTTGCGTGTCACGAATCTATACATATAAGGATATGTATTCTTGTGAAAAGGTATGAATATAAAACGACGAAAATGAAAGAAACTGGAGAGAAATGATAGAAGCGGCTAGCGCATACTTACCTTTCAGTCGTCGATATACCGGTATGTTCTACTGACTAACAATGGGTATCGCATCTAAGGTCACAATATTCACAAAATTCACTTCTGGTACTCAAGCATAGGTTTGAGGTTCTGATTGCTTCCGATAGCAGCAAGTAACCAGGAGCTGTTCCTGTGAATCGCGGCGGAGGTGACTTATGATGATCTTTGCGTGATCGCGATGCAAAAACGTGTCGTAATCGCTGGCCTCGTGAATAGCCCTGCTTATTACGACAGCAACAAGCTCCCAGGCTTAAGTGTAAGGATAGGGGTATAAGCAGCAAGTATAGAATGAAATGACCAAGACACCAGCAACACGCATGTCTAAGCATAACATGCAGATCCATACCAAGACGGTGTGCACAGTAGAACCACGCTGTAACAAATAGTTCCATAGTGAGAATAATGATCACATATTTGAGAAAACCTGTTACAAGTTCATAAGCATGTCTTCCGGCTTGTGTAGCAAGGTATAGTGAAATGGCAAAGGTAAGGTGCAAACAAACAGCACAAGAACGAAGCGAGGGAAGCAACGAGACCACCGATCGCCCAAAGCATCTTCCAGAGTTGCCAATATAGACGAAGAGAGGAGGTAAAAAATATTCAGCAGAATGAATATATATGCAAACAACAGAAATCCATTCCGCAGTTTGACATTGGGAAAATATGAAAAAACAGTGCGCCTGCGAGTGTTTCGCCGGCGCATTGTTCTGCGCTGGAGCAGCCTGCGAAATCGCGCTGAAAAAAGTTTGTGAGCTCGTAAATAGACGGAGGGGAGGGGGTTCCGAGCGATTGAAGAACGAATAGATGGGCAGCACGATGTAGAATATATATATATTAGGTCGTTTCAAAAGTAATTTCGCTTTTTTCAAACGGGCACCAGATCTGAAGGAACAAAGCTTTCTAAGAGATCTTAAAAGCATTCGATGCAGAATTTCATTCTCTTTCTAATGGTTATGAAAATGTTGCAAAACAGTCAATAAGCTTTCAGAAAATAACCAAAATTTGCGAATCATGCTTTTTTAGATGGTCAAGTTTCACGATTTTTTAAAACTTTCAAAACAATCCTCAGAAGAAGTTCAAGTAAAGATTCGGTAGAGTAAACCTTACAAAATACACTACTACTTTTTTCTTTTTCTCGTAGCTCGCCGTAGTTTTTAAAAGATTTTTTAGCAGAACCATCGGATTTTAGCAGTCCCACCTCAACCACAGTCGCATCAAACATCAGTAATTACTCGGAATTTCAAGCTTTCAAGATGATATATGACTTAATATTGATTTTATAAAGCAAATGAGAGTTTATGGGTTCGAAATATCAAATTTCGAAATTTTTCGGGTACAGCCTGGGGCTCGCTAAAAAAAGAGTTATGTTGATTTCTCCCGGAAACCAAACGAATCGGAAACAAAAAACACCTGTTGGAAAGAGAAGAAAATGCTGCATCGAATAGTGCGCGAGCTGCTCTTCTTTTGATGTTCTACGAGGATTTAGCTGCCCAAGTATGGAAATCGGTAGCATCAGTTAAAATTCTGTTAAAAATGTAGGACAAGCTATGGAAAGGAGAAAAAAGTAGTTTCGCATTCTGTAGGGTTTGCTCTATAAAGGCGTCACTTGTACATTTTCGGAGGGTTGATATAAAAGTTTTAAAAAATTGTGAAACTTGACTATCTCAAAAAGCACAGGTCGCAGATTTTGGTTATTTTCTGAAAGTTCATTGACAGTTTTGCAACAATTTCATAACCATTAGAAAGAGAATAAAATTTTGCATCGAATGCTTCTAAGATCCCTTAGAAAGCTTTGTTCCTTCAAATCTGGTGCCTGTTTGAAAAAAGCGAAATTACTTTTGAAACGACCTAATACATGAAAAGTTTTGAAAAATTATGTGAAGACGGAGGAATTCATTACTTTTTTATTTTACAGCCACCTCAGGTGGCTGTCCAGGTAGCTGTAAGTCCACCTAAATCCAAAAAAGTTTGCCGCAACTTTAGTTCACATAACGTTTTTATTTTTAAACTTAGTACTATCCTCTCATTGCCCATCTACACACCCAGATTGGTGTCAGATGATTAGCTCTTTGCTGTAAACAAGCCTCTTGTTTATCTCAGGCGCTTTTTTGAATTCCTGCACTTCCACGGATAGCACATTGGAGCGGGAAATTGTTAGTTTTGCAGAGACTGAAGTGGGGTAAGGCAGTGGTGAGCGTTTCAGCACTCTTCTGAGGACCAGGAGAGTGAATGAAACGGGAGGTTTATTCGTAAATGTTGGATTAAGTATGTATACGGTAGCGCCGTACCACTGACGCATACATATATGGAAATCTTCATGGATTATGTCTATACAGGGTCCCAAAAGTATGTATACACTGTTTGATCGTTAGTATCTCTTTTCCCAAGAAGTTTTTTGGTTTGCTTCAGGTAACATATTGTAGAGCTGGCTTCCACTTAGAGTTACGGTATGGAGAGAATCACCGACAGTCCTTCATTACTGTAGGACTACGGTAGAAATTTGAAACATATGGTATCGATGTCGAAAAAGCTGCCGTTTCAAAAAAAATTCGAAAAAAAGGGGAAAACTTCTGTAATAGGGTTTTCATGGACGCTGAGTTCAATGCTCAGCTTTTCACAAGATTGCGAAGCTTTCTAAACGGTGTAACCGCACTCTTTAGGAACATTGAAAAAATGGCCGCTACTGCCTAACCTAGCATGACTCTTCAATGAAGCATAATATTTAAGGAAGCATAATATCATCTATATATATATATATATATATATATATATATATATACAGAGTGTCCCAAAAAAATGTGCCTACTGTTTGATTGTAAATAATTCTCTTGTGATGATGTGTTTCGAGAAGATTTAGGTGCCATTTTATAGAGCGAGGTTGAACTTAGATTTACAGCATAGAGCGAATCCCTGATCTCTCTTCACTACTGTAGGATTACGGTAAGAACTTCCAACATATGGATTTAATGTGAAATTTACTATTTAATAAAACTTTTTTCAAAAATTCTGAAAAATCGTGTATTAGGATTTTCGCGCATGCTGACTCTACCTAACAACTTTTTACGAGTGTTTTCAGCTTTTTTGACGTTGTAATTACATTTCTGACAAATGCTGGGAACTGAGTTATTACGATTTACCGGGGATAACTTTGGAAAGAAGCATCATAGAAAAATGGAAATTTCAAAATCGGAGTCAGCGGCTCCCATTGCCGTAGTACAGAGTTTTTGGCTTGTTTGGTTCTGTTCGGAGGCCGAATATAGCCTCCAATGGCCCTAAAATCCTTGTCGAATTTTGTACCGTAATCCTACAGTAATGAAGAGCGATAGACGATTCGCTCCATACTGCAAATCTAAGTTTGACCTCGCTCTACAAAACGGTACCTAAAACATCTCGAAACACTACATTACAAGGGAGTTATTTACAATCAAACAGTAGGCACAT